CTCTCTCTCTCAAGAATAAATAAACATTGGGGCGCCTGGGTGGCTCAGTCAGTTGAGCTTCCGACTTCGGCTCAGGTCATGATCTCACGGTCTGTGAGTTCGAGCCCCCTGTCGGGCTATGTGCTGACAGCTCAGAGCCTGGAGCCTGCTATAGATTCTGTGTCTCCCTCTCTCTCTGACCCTCCCCTGTTCATGTTCTGTCTCTCTGTGTCTCAAAAATAAATAAACATAAAAAAAAGAATAAATAAACATAAAAAAATTTTAAATGATCATGATATAAATGATAAATGAAAAAAGCACAATTCAAAATGATATATATCATATGATGGCAATTGGATATGTATGGATATATTTTTTCATAGAAAAACTACTATGAGGCTTCATACCTATTAGTTATTTCTGGGTGGTAGTGTTATAGGTTATTTTAATTTTCATCCTTATGATGTTTTTTGTATTTTCCAGTTTTTCTGTAAAGAATATGCATTATTTGTGTAATCAGCAAAAATAAAAATGTTGATATAAAAAGAGGTCTGAAAGCAAGCATTTTGTAGCCTTCATGCTTGTGACACATCTATAGTAATTATTTTTTATCTGTTGTTTTATCTGTTTTCTGTCGGTGTCAGATGAGAGGGGAGCCATATTTTCAACCATTCTTTGGAGAATCTCTTTGGGGATGAGGAGCTATATAGCTGTGTAATCTCTAGAGACTTTGACTACAATTAAGTGTCCTTTTGACCTTAAATTCTTGCATCTTTGTGATCTGTAACAGTCCCCAATCTTGGACCATGGGCCCCTGAGGAGGAGGGAAGGGCACTCAATGCAAGAGTCCACAGATCTTTAAATGTATAAGTGCTTTTTCTTACTCTGTAAGTGCTAAAAGTATAGCTACTATTGTAGGTATGAGTGGGTGAAGTGAGATTCTTTTTTTAATCTTTCTTAAGAAGGGGCCCTTAAACCTAAAATGTTGGGAACCACTGAAATAGAGACTAAAAATGGTGGCTATTTAATCATCAACTTCAGGAATCAAAGATGCTTATGTCCTGCCCTTTTGATCAGGGTTTTCATGTCTTTGCCCAACACTAAAAGATAGGACTTTTAGCAGTTCCAAGCATTGTCTTTGTTACCCATTCTCATCACACTTGTGTACATTCCTTGTGTACATCTAACTTTTTCACTCATATCTTCCTGTTCTCAGCTTAGCTCCTGACATCTAAAGCTGAATATGTCTGAAGCATGGCTTATTATGGAACACTGCCCAAGCATAGCTTATTATGGAACACTGCCTTCATCCCCCACCCTACCAAATTTGCTCCTCCTCCAGTCTTCCCTCTCTTGCTGTTGGTAACGTTATCCACCTAGCTCCCAAATTAGAAACTTTTCACTCCTTCACTTCCTTCACCCTTTACATCCAATTGATCACCGAACCCAATGTATTTTACCTCTTCAGTGTATCTCTTAATCCATGCTCTCTGCTCCATCTTCCCTGCAACTGCTTGCCTATTATAACAGCTCTTTAATGGATTCTTCCCCTAGGAGAATCACTCCAAAAGGCAGCCAGAGGGCTCTTTCTAAAATGCAAATCTGGTCCAGTCACTCCCCTGCTTAAAATCTTCTGTTCCTCCCTATTATCTACAAGATAAAGCCTAGAATTCTCTGCTTGTCATTCAAGGCATGACCCAATCTGTCCACAGCCTCATTTTTCAGACTCGTCTACTGCTCCCCACAAGGCACCTACCTTGTACTCTGGTCACACCATACATTTCATTTTGTGCTTTTTGGAATTATTATTTTTTTTTTTATCTCTCCTGCCTAATGACGATCTGATTTCTCTCTCATGGCTCAACTCAAGTGTATTTCCTCTAGGGAGACTTTTCCTGACCTGACCAGGTAGAACTCACCTCACCTATCCCTTCACTCCATCCCATAAATACTTCTACCATTAATGCAAGTAACACTTTATGACTTGATTTTTTTCTAGGTCTGTTCTTTCTGTGTGTGAACTCCTCAGGGATAGGCACCATGTCTTTTTCATCTCTGAGCCTCCTAAACTCTAGCCAAATGGAACTTACTGTTCTCTGAACATGCTATGCTTTTTTGTGATATCCACCTTTACAGAGGTACATTACTCCACTGGGGAGACCCTTCTCTCTTACTCCCCTTCTCTGCATACACAAACATCTACTTGTCCTTTAAGAGTCATCTCAAATGCAATTTCTCTGAAATCTTTGCACATTCTTAGAGTTATTTGTCCCCAAGTCTGTGCTCACCAAGCCTTCTGGTCAAATATCGATTATAACACTTGCCACATAAGCATTTTATGAGCTTATATGACTGCCTCCTCCCACCTTGCAACCTCCCCGACCCTCTTCCCCAGGCTCTGAGATCTCAGATAGCAAATCATCTTAGTGTCTCTAGCATAAAGCATAATAGATGAACAATAAATACTTCTTTGGTCAATAATTAAATAAAGCCTCTTATGGTACATGGTGGCCTGGGAAAAACTATTGGGTAGACCAGTAAGCTTTAATACTTATTTACATAACTGGTCAAGGTACCCTTGGGTAAGTGTTGGGTTCATAAGCCTTTTCTAGGTCTTGACTCTAAATCTGTCCTTGTTACTTTTCCAGGTGCTTATGGTCAACAGTTGGTGCACTGCCCATTCTCTCCCCCCATGAGCCTTGGTTCTGATGCAACCTATGGTCATGCAGGGATGCCCTTACACCCTCCCTCGATGTCATGAATGGCGGGCAGCTGACCAGTTCCATAACAGCAACAGCCTCCGTAGCACCTGCCTCCAGCCTCAGGTAAGAGGCTGATAGCAAAAGAAAGTCCTGTGGAGAAAGGGTAGACACAGGATCTGTGTGTGTTCTTGTGGGTGTCCATGCTTCCTAAGGCTATGGGACACTCTCTATATACATGAATCTGTTTGGAAGGCATGGGACCTCCTTCTGACTCATCCCTTATCAGTCATGAAGCTTTTTTAAAAATAAAGTTTATTTATTTTGAGAAAGAGAGAGAGACACCACGTGGGGGCAGGGGAGGGGCAGAGAGAGAGGGAATGAGAGAGAATCCCAAGCAGACTCCTCAGTGTCAGTGCTGAGCTCAATGTGAAGCTTGAACCCACAAAGTGTGAGATCATGACCTGAGCCAAAATCAAGAGTCAGATGCTCAATCAAGTGAGTCACTGAGGAGCTCCCTTGAAGCCTTTTATAGGGGGCATGGGGCAAAGAAATGTGTTGGTCTGGGTAAGTGAAAGGGCCAAGAATGGCTGAGGGAGACTAGCTTCATGTTAACCTCCCAAGGGAAGTCCCAGAAGAGTGTAACCCTTCAGGGTATCACCTAGGACAAGGCATGATCTTCCTTTGCTTTAACTTCTTTATGCCATACTTCATGTTCTGCACCTGAAGAATATTCTCTCTCCTTCCATGGGCTCTTCCTCTCAAGCCTTTAGTCTTACAGCTCCTGGCAGAATCCCTGTAGCTTCATAGCTTTCTCTCCTTTCTCTCTCCTCCCCTAGGAGTGGAATGGTGGTACTGTGTGTTCCTGCCTATATATGTTGGTAGATGGGCAGAGGATGTATGAGAGGTAGTAATCCCAAGAGGATAGCCCCCTTCACTGACAATGAGGGAGGTCCATGGGAAAGTTGACTGGACAAGGGGGAAGCATAAACATATTTTGGCTTGTCCTACAATGCTTTGAGGTCCAGAGGCCATAAGGGTGTGAAAAAGTACTATGTCTCCTAGTATCTCACAGATGGGCTGTGGTGCTCAGTCACTGCTGGGGGTGCAGACAGCAGCTAAATATACAGGGAGGAAGGGAGGAAGGAAGGAGGGAGAACGGCAGCAGGGATGGAAAATGTGGGTGCTGGGGAGTCCATTTTGAAGAGAATAATGAGGAAAAGTCCAGAGAGGCATAACATCCAGGTCTTCCTGAGCTGTCTTCCCACATCTAACCAGAGAGAAATTGCTGCCTCTAACATATTCTCAGGCAAGTGCCAACTTAGAGTTCCCCAGTGTACCTACCCCTTTCCCAGACTGGGACTGCCATAGGGTCAAGGGATTGAGAAGTCTGGGCCCTTCCAAAAGGCTTGCCCTGCACATTTGTCCACCCCCTCCAAATTTCACCACCTAGACAGAGGGACCTAGGGCTTCATTTTGTGATTGAGAATGGTGAGAGCCACCCCTCTCCTCTGCCACTGTCCACTTTCTTCTCTCCCTTCCCTATGGCCCTGACTTTGTCTTAAAGTTTCAAGAGATAAGGAGAGAGCCCTCTGGGGAGTGGAGTGAGAAACAAACATCTTGGCTACAAAAGCCAGAAGTAGAAGGCCATTGGTAGCAAAAAATGTTGTTATTCATTATTTGCCTATTGTGTACCTGGCTGTGCTAGGGGTACTTGTGAGTATAAGGGGGGCCTCGGAGGGGAGAACAGGGTGAGGGAGTATAGTAAGGGGGCCAAGTGAGGATTTAGGAAACTAAGAAGAAGTCTGAAGAGAATGAAACCTAATATGGGTGGAGCCAAGTTCGTCATGGGCACTTCCCTCAGAACCAGGACAACTTGGTTGTAGCTGAGTTACAAGGAGCCATTTCTAACTCTCAGTCTAGGGGATTCTGTGAAACTGGCTTGAGCCCAATTATCCCAGCATAAGCAAAGCTGTGACTCAGAACTAGAGCCTGCTCTTGGCCTGCCATCCCCTGCCATCCCCCATCCACCCAGAATGGCTCCACCCCAGACCCCCAGAAAGGGTCAGGCAGCTGCTCCAACTATTCCTGTAGGTGGGCCTCAGCATGGAAACAATGTGGAACTGTGGAAAGCCCAGAAGACTCTGTGGGAGATTAATGAGGATAGGAACAGAACACTTTTTGGTAAAAATGAAGTGTTTTCCCTCAGTGCTGAAGAGTGGGGGCCTAGCTTGGGAATGTTAACCTTTCCCCCAGGCAAGTCTGCTGGAAAGAGAGAAGAGTGACCACTTCCAGAAGGGGCCCTACCCCACAGACCAGTGGCCCAGGACAGCACAAGTGGGGCACAGGAGACTCCCTGGCACTGGATCCCTGTACAGAGCTTCTGAGTTCCATTTTGCCTTCTCCCTCCCCTGCAGAGGTTCAAGGGGATGCCCATAGAAAAATCTATTTCCCCCTAACCTTAGAGTGCAGTGAGAGGTCTGAGGAGGTGGATAATGACTCTCCCTTCACTCCTCTCTGCCTCTCAAAGGTAAGGTAGAGCACCCCCTTGTTTTCATAGTGGGCTCAGATGAATCTTCTGCTGTTCAACTTCCTGATCCTGCCATCCTGTGGCTCTGTCCCCAGGTGTGCCACACACATTCCTCACTGCTTCTGAGGACACTTACTTAGTTAAAGACAAGGCTTATTTCCAAGCCCATCCTTCTGCCAGGCCTTGGGGAAAATAGCTTACCAGAGGTTTGTCACCAAAGTGGTCTGATCCTTTACTCCACCTCAGGGGAGGGGTGGGCCTGGATGCAGTGAGTCCTTTGTGTCTTCCATAGAAAATGAAAATAAATCAAGAGAAACTATCCACTGCATACCCTTCCTCAACACCATGGAATGTCCAGTTCCACTCCCGCAATCCTTGCCAGCCTGGGAGGGCCTTCCTGGCCCCGGTGTGGTGGGCTCAGATGGGAGTGAGCTGGAATTCCCCAGGGACAAAGCTCTGATTCACCAGCTGAGCCCTGACATAGCCGCCCCCTCTAGATTCCTGGGGGGTCAGTAAACAAACAGGGTGACAGCTCCCACCTCCTGACCTGGCTCAGCTCTGCCAGCCTTCCCTGAGGGAGCCTGCTTAGAGCCTGTCAGGATTCTGCCTGTGGCTCATCAGACACTGATTCTGGAAGCAAGCTGAAGGATAATCATGGAGCTGCCTAATCCTGCAGTGGAGTTCCCAGGCAGCACAGGTAGGGTCAGCTCATGGGAACATAGGGTGACTGACTTCAGAACTTTGCCCTTGAGCCTGGTTGCTCCCTCACTTCCTTTCAGTGTGTGGCTGTGAGCTGTGGTTTTAATGGGATGATTGTTTTCTTAAATTGTTGGAAGAGTCTTGTGTGGGAAGGAAGTATGGTTTGGGGGGAAAGGGAGACTAGAAGAGTCTCATCCACCAACAGAACTATGTTCTTTCTATAAAAGGCAAGCTGGTATACAGGTGGGCAGACAGGTGGGTTTCCCAAGTCTGGGATTGAGCAGCACAGGCTGAGATTTCCTCGTCCATACTCCCCTTCCCTCAATTCCCTTCTGCCTTTGGCTGGGCAGTCCTGGCAGTATGCTAGAGGTGGCTAACTTATTTAGCACAACCCTCATTCCCCCAAACTTTGTAATTCCCTGCAGGGTGAAGAAGTGATGGGCTCTGAGCTTTAGGGCTCAAGGGAAGCCTTTGGTAGGATCTATGACTGGTCCTCTTGGCTGCTGACTCTGGTCAGCGTCCTTTGGAGATCAGGGTCAAAAATATGGCTTTAGTTCTCTCTCAACCCGTGGAAGATGAACAGTACTCTTTAGGACTATTTCCAGGCTTTCCGACTGGTGGAAAATGCATGTGGGGAAGAGGGAGAGGGGGCACCAAGGCCTGGATTCATTTGAGAAGTAGGACATCTATTACTGATATCTTTCCCTGGCTGGTCTACTCTCTCTCCCTGAATCTTTTGAGGCAGCCCCTCAGCTTTCTTTTCTTTTTCAGTGTGGGACACTGAGGTTGAGCCTACAGCTTACCTTGAATGCTGTGTTTGCCAGTGTTTGGGCAATTCTGAGCTGCTCTTATCTAAGGAAAATACTTCCAGAATCCCATCTGGGCAATAGTCTTGGCAGAATTTACAGTAATAATCCACCCCCAAACATACCCTGGGACATGCGCTTCTCTCTCCTTGTTCACATTTGTCCCATCCTTGGCTTGGTGCAGACCAGGGTGTGGCATACTCTGGGGATTGCAGAATGTCTATGTTTCTGTCCAGGTTAGAGTTGCTGCTACTGCCTCTGCGCCTCCTCAGGATGGTGCTGGAGTTTCCTGCCTAAGCCCAAAGCTATTCAACGGGTCTGTTGGTGCTGCTGGACCCCTCGAACCACGAGCCATGAATCTGTGTTGGAATGAAATCAAAAAAAAGTCTCACAACCTCCGGTAAGGCCTGGCCCCTAGAAACAGGAGCCTTAGGCAAATGGCTGGGGCTGTGTTGGGCTCCTTTTGCTGCTTCAACTTGTCATTCTCCTCTCAGCCTGTGTCAGCCTCATCATCCACTTCTCATCGTCTCATCAGCTTCATCATCTACTTCTCCACTTCCTTCTCTGGACCGTGGAAAGGACCCTGGGTCAGAAGTCAAGAGGCTTGGATTTGAGCCTAAGTTGTTTTTTTTTTTTTTAATATTTATTTATTTATTTATTTTGAGAGAGAGAGAGAGAGAGAGAGAGAGAGAGAGAGAGAGAGAATCTCAAGCAGGCTACACGCTGTCAGCACAGAGCTTCACAAGAGGCTCGATCTCATGAAGCTTGAGATTATGACCTGAGCCCATATCAAGAGTCCCATGCTTAACCGACTTAGCCACCCAAGGCCCCCCTGAGCTTCATTTTAAAGTAGTTGTGTCACCTTGGATACGTGGTTTAAGTTATCTGAATTTTACTCTCTTTTTTTTTAAAAACAAAAACAAAAATGAGTGAAGGAACTTTCCTAACTACTTCACAGTGTTGTAAGGATTCTTTAAGATATGAAAATGCTTTCTGAACTTAAAAGCACTCATGTATAAGTGAAGGATATGTGTGCTCCTTCCTCCTCTTCTTCTCATAACTGTCCTTCCTCCATCTCAGTAGATATTATCTGCTCTCTTTCCCATCCTTTTATGCCTTCTACTCCCATCCATTGGTTATCAGCCCACTTATTCCTCCCCAAACTGAAGGCAAATCTGTACGAGCATGAAGGCAATTCCTATATCACTTGTCCCTCTTCTCCCTACCCTTCTGTATAACCTACCCCCACACTTTTCCTCTCCACTCCCTATTACCAAAGCCCAAACCCCTGGCTTTTGGTAGGCTTTGGCTGGAATGAGACAGTGTAGAGAAGTTGAAAGAATGCAGGCTCTGGGGTCAAATAAACCTGAGTTCAAATCATAGCTCTACCAGTGATTTAACTGTGTGACCTTGGGCAAATTACTTAACCTTCTTAGGCAATAGTAGTACCTACCTCATAAGGTCACTGCTCTGAGAATTAGTGGAAGTAGTGACTTAGGTAAGGGTTTGGTCTAGGTAGTAGGGAAGTAATGAATAGTTATTATTGTCAGCTAGGGGGAATGGGCTTGATAGCTATACCTAGGCTGGCCTCTAGCTTCCTACCACTTGGTCCTCAGCTCATGGTTCATTTGTGGGGGATGGCTTACAGAGATGATTATAGTGTATGCATTTTTCTCCTTCCATATGTCAAATCTCTAGCCTCTGGTGCTGTCATCCTTTGGGACCCTTGGGCTACGTATATTTGTATGTGTCCTCACACAAGGGAGCACCCATGTTCAGTCACCTCATTTGCCCTTTCACTTACTGTATCCTCTTCCTACTCAGAGGTCAGGCTCTGAGAAGCCTCTGTTGATGAGTAGTTTGGCATGGTTTGAGTTCCTCAAGGGCAAGAGGGTAACCAGACAGCTGTCACCCCTAATGCCCTTGTTCAGTTTCCTCCCCTTCCCAGCTTGATGCTGGGCAAGCAACTGAATTAGCTGATATCCACACTATCACACCTCCCCACTCATGGACCTACCCATTGGTTTTAGTACTGTACTCCATGCAAAGGTACATTGGGAACCTCTGTGGATGGGTAAGATGGAGGGCTCTGGGCCTCCTCCTACTTCAACCAGAGCAGCTCCTCTTTAATCTGTTTTATATATATTAAAATTCTACATAAGTGTTTGGGGAAAAAGTGTTTTGCCACTTAAAAAGAAGGTTGAAAATCACTGGTCTTTTGCATTGTGTGCAGTGCTCGCCTAGAGGCCTTCTCAGACCACAGTGGGAAGCTTCAGCTCCCTCTCCAAGAGATTATTGACTGGCTCAGCCAGAAAGATGAGGAATTGTCAGCTCAGCTGCCCCTGCAAGGGGATGTGGCTCTGGTGCAACAGGAGAAGGAGACACATGCGGTAGGTTTGAACTATGGAGGCTGTGGCGTGTCACCTCTCAGCTGGGAAGGGAGCTTTTCTGCAGTGTTCTGACAGATGAGCACCTAACCTCTGCTTAGACATCTGAAGTAACAGGAGGCTGGATACAGTTTTACTGGGTTTTGGATAGCCCGCTACCAGAGTAAGTCAAACCTTTTCTCCCTGGCCCTTTCATCAAATACTGACCTCTCTTAAAATCCTGCCCTGATTTTCAGTGGGGACATGGAAAAATGAACATAATATAATGTTAAGTGAAAAAAAAACATAGGATACAAAAACTATATACAGGTGGATCTCAGTTGTACAAAAACAAATATAGACGTGTGTACATGTATACACACATACGAAAACATAAGAATGAACTATATCACAAAGCCCCCAATGGTCAACTCTAGGTGATGAAATTAAAGTTCTTTTTAATTTTTCTTCTTCATGCTTTTCTGAAGTTTCTAATATTTCTGTGACATATATTACCTCTTATAATCAGAAATTAACAAAAGATATTTCTTAAAAATGAATACAGAATGCAGTAGGAGAAATAATTATGTGACATGGTAGAGGTGTTAGCTAAGACTACAATGGCAATCACATTGCGATATAAATGTACCAAATCAATATGTTGTATATCTTAAACTTACACAATCTTCTATGTCAATTATATACCAATTTAAAAAGTGGAAACAGAATGGAATACAGTACAGCAAAAAAATAAACTATAACTGAATGCCACAGCATGGATTACTCTTAAAAACAGTATGTTTAGTGAAAAAAAGCCAGGTAAAAAAAGAGTACATACTGCATAATACCATTTATGCAAAGTGTTCAAAAATGGACAAGACTAATCAGTGGTATTACAAGTCAGGATACTGGTTACCTAAGGGGAAGGGGTGATAAAGTGACCAGAAGGGGCCCTTGAGTATACCTGCTGGGATGCTGGTGGAGTTCTGTTTCTTGATCTCAGTGCTGGTTACAGACATGGAATTACTTTATGGAAATTCACCGAGCTGTACACTTTTGATTTGTGTACGCTTCTCTATATTTCAACAAAAATTTTAATTAAAATTATGATATAAATCCTGCCTGTCTGGTTTTGATTTCTCTAAAGCCCCTTACTGGGGAATTTCTGGGTCTTCCAGAGAACCAAGATTTTCAACACCAAATCCTTACATTTCTCTCTACCTTGTGGCATATACAGACCCATTTCATACTAAATAGATCTCCCTATGTCAGAGTCACTCTTCTGCTTATAGAGAGGACTGCAGCTCTTTATGTCTGGGTAGCCCAAAGATGCATGATAATGCTAAAGGATCAAGTTGCACTAAGGAGAAGAAAGGTTGTCAATTGCAGAATAGAATTTGAAGCAGTTGAAAGACTTTACTTCCCTGTTGACCATGTTGCTAAACTTCATAGGCCTTTATGGAAGATGTCAAGTCTCGGGGCCCTTATATCTACTCTGTTCTGGAGTCAGCTCAGGCCTTCCTGTCCCAGCACCCATTTGAGGAATTAGAGGAGCCTCATTCTGAGAGCAAAGGTGGGTAGTCTTCCTCTCTTTTACCTTCTTCTTGAACTGCTAAACACCTTCCTTCCTTCCCCAAACTCAGTTTCTCAGCTATTATCTAGGAGAATAATTTTCTCTTAAGAGTCCAAAGTTGGGAAGGAGCAAGGTTCACACTGCAAGAAAAAGCAAAGAGAACAAAAGAAAAAAAGAAAGAAAAAGAAAAAAGAAAAAGCAAAGAGAACAGAACCTGGAGCAGGGAAGACCAATGGGTGGCCCAAAGCTGTATGTGACTATGTGGAGCATCATGTGTGGCGTTCTAATGAGACATAAAAAAGAAAAAACAAAAGACTCAAATGCATTGAGCTGACTCTGAATAAAAGTAGTAGTATGTCCTTTAAAAACGTACTCCTTTAAAGAAAAATAAAATAAAATAAAATAAAATAAAATAAAATAAAATAAAATAAAATAAAAAGTGTACTCCTTTATTCCGACATAGAGAGACATGCAGTGATGTTCTAATCAATGAGACAATAAAAAATCTTTTTTAAATCTAAAAAGTTAGGTGATGACATTTCAGGAGAAAATTTATTGTGGGTCTTTATTGTGGTGACTTCTGGCCCCTTTCCTCAGTAGAGTAGGCCACTCTAGGTCTAGGTTCAAATAAGGGAGCAGGGTGGGATTCTTGGGGTAGCCCAGCAAGCCCTCTTCTCCAGAAGGAGTTCTCAACCTTTCAAGACTGGCTATGAATAGCCTGGAAGGATCCGTTGTTAACTGAGCTCTTTGTTAAAGCTGTTGACTCTCTCCGTTTACTTCCAGCCCCTCAGTAGGAGGCTATTAGTCAATTTACTATCCAATGGGCCTCAGACAGGACAAGTTCAAAAGAGCGCAGGATAGTTCCAATTAACCTGGAGTTTTGGGGGTCTGAATCTACTTCTGAAGGGAGTTCCAGGGGAGGATGAAGAAACCTACAATTTAGGAGCCTAGATAGAAAAGCTGGGAAAGTTCTGCTAACCTCTCCTAGGCATAAAATACTTCCCTTCTTTGGATGGAAGTGGGCAGCAGACACTAATGCAAAATGGCATTCCAGGGTCATGTGCATAGGACTCTGGATGATTTGCCTCACTGTGCCTCTTAAAATATTTTACTCACTGGGGTGCCTGGATGGCTCAGTCGGTTGAGCGTCCAACTTCAGCTCAGGTCATGATCTCACACTCCGTGAGTTTGAGCCCTGCGTCGGGCTCTATGCTGACAGCTCAGAGCCTGGAGCCCGCTTCAGATTCTGTGTCTCCCTCTCTCTCTTCCCCTCCCCGGCTCATGCTCTGTCTCATGTCTCTGTCTCAAAAATAAATAACAACATTTTTAAAAAATTAAAAAAATAAAATATTTTACTCACTGTTTACCTTGCCCATCTTTTTAAGAATATGAAGAAATCCTCTTAGCAGGAAGAAAGTAACAACATGGTCTCTTGACTGTGGTGTTGGATCCATGAACCTACATGTGTGATAAATCGCATAGAACTAAATATACACATAAGGGCACATGAACATTTTACAGAGGTATATCTTTGCCTCTGTCTTTTCCATGGCTGCCCCTGCCAGGTTGGCCTGACCTGGCTTCCTGCTTGCTCTTACAGATACTTCTCCCAGACAGCGGATCCAGAACCTTAGCCGCTTTGTGTGGAAGCAGGCAACGGTGGCCAGTGAACTATGGGAGAAGCTGACAGCCCGCTGTGTCGACCAGCACCGCCACATTGAGCACACTCTGGAGCAGCTGTTGGAGATCCAAGGGGCAATGGAGGAATTAAGCAATACTCTGACCCAGGCTGAGGGAGTCCGAGCCACTTGGGAGCCCATTGGGGATCTCTTCATTGATTCACTCCCTGAGCACATCCAGGCTCTTAAGGTATACAGGCCCCCTAACCTGGCTAAAGTCCACCCTGAAACCTGACACTCCTCCCAGACCATGTCCCTGCTACTGAAGCTTCACTGTTGTCCCAGGTTGTAACTGAGCCTTTTCCAGTTTATGTGCTGGATTTTGGGGCTGGTTTAGCTGGAGTCTCCTCTGTCCTTTTACTGTCTTCTCTTTCCCTGGTGTTTTCTGAGAGTAAAAAATGAAGAGGATAAGGACAGTGGCCCCCTCGCCTTCATCCAAATGGCCTTAATAGCAAGCACCTGGATCGTGCTATTGAAACAAAAGTCTGGGTGAAGAAGGAGGAGTTGAGATGAATGACTAATGGTTCCTCTTACCTACTTTCTCTTTGCTGTGGGATTTGGGTCCTGGTTCTATAGCTATTCAAAGAAGAATTCTCCCCTATGAAAGATGGAGTGAAATTGGTGAATGATCTGGCCCATCAACTTGCCATTTCTGATGTACACTTGTCAATGGAGAATTCCCGCGCCCTGGAGCAGATCAATGTTCGGTGGAAACAGCTACAGGTAGAAGAGAAGCCTGGAGTGAGCCAATGGAAAGAGCTTTGATATAACTAGGCTTGGGAGAATCTTCTTCTGGCCAAAAGAAAATGAAGGGGCATTAAAGTGGGATGGGACCTCCATGGGGAAAGAATAGTAGAGCATTTGGGGCCAGGGAACAGTCTTCTCAACCTCTAAGCTGCAGGACGTAATTGAAATGAAGATTTGAGAGGGGCCTGTGTAAATGTGGGCATTTAGGGTCAGATAAGAAGTGACTGTGGCCTGTAATTAAGAATGCTCTTCTCTGACCCTTGGGAGTGATGTGGAAGCACTAGGAGTTAGGTGATCATGGAAGGATCTAGAGCCAGAGACGAGTTAGCCTGTGAAGGACTTCACAAAGATTTCTGGAGGTGCCTGGAAATCTCACACTAAATATCTGGAATGAATTCACTCTGCCTCTTTCCATAGGTGTCAGTTGGTGAGAGGCTTAAGCAGCTCCAGGATGCCCACCGGGACTTTGGGCCTGGGTCACAGCATTTCCTCTCCTGTACGTGAGACAAACTAGACTTCACTTAGCAGAACCGCAGATACCTTACAAGAGAGTCTACTCATGTCCCTTGGGGGTCTGGTAGGAGCCCAATATATCTTGGCATCCAAGAAGCAGTAAGGATAAAGCAGTGCAGTATAGTGGAAGAAAGGACAGGGTCTCAAATCAGAGAGACCTGGATCTGAGCCACTGCTCCTTGACTTAATAGCTGTGCAAGCCTGAAGAAAATAGCTTAACCTTTCTGAACATCAATGTTCCCATATGAAAAAAGAAGAGAAAATATTACCTAACTCATAGGGTTATGGGAATATTAAATAACTTGGAATTTTCAACAATATTTATTGAGGACCTAATGTGGGCCAGGTAGTGTTCCAGGCACTGGAGCTACATCAGTGAGAACAAAACAGACAAGTCTTTAGACTTATAGAGCGTCTACACTAGTAAGGGAAGCCAGAACATAAACAAATAAGTAAAATCTATATAAGGTAAATTGGTGACAAGTGCTGTGGGAAAAAAAATAAAGCAGGGAAGGCATGAAAAGGCAGTGCTGGACTTAATGAGGGAGGCATTGCAATTTTGAATAGGGTAGTCAGGAAAGGCTTCACTGAGAGCTCTCGGAACAGAAACCTCAAGGAGACAAGGGAATGAGCCATGGGGATAATTGAGGGAAGAGCACACCAGGCACAGGGAACAGCAACTTCAAGGACCTCAAGGCAGGGGCATGCCTGAGGAACAGGAAGGAGGCAGGTGTAGAAGTAATATGGAGAGGAGAAAGCGGGAGATCAAAAAGGGTAGCAGGAGGCCAGAGCACCGAAGGAACTTGGGATTTTACTGTGAATGGAATTGAGAACCTTTGGAGGGGTTTGAGCAGAAGGGCGACATTGTAATAATCCAGGTGAGGGATTATGGTGACCCAGGTCAGGGTGGTAGCAGTGGAGATGGTGAGGATATACAGATGTGAAAATTAGATATGTACACAAAGCATTTGGCAAAGTATCTGGCTCATAGTAGGAACTCAATAAATGTCAATGGCAGTTAGAACTATTGCTATTAAATAATCACTGGCATGCAGCTATACCTATAGAGGGCTCTTGTATCCAGGGAAACTGCAGTGAGGAGGTTTGCCAGGTGACTTAGCCTCTCAAACATCTGGAAGATAAAGACATGGAGCAGAGAAGGGCATCCTTTTCCAGAATTCCTCACCAGAGAGAAATGGGCAATACCATTCCCCATTGTCCCATAGGACTGAGAAGCTTGGCCTTCTGGGGGAAAGTTTTTGAGTCCCATGAGGAAAGTAGTCCACTTCATATCTCTAGCAGCACTGCAGCTGAATGGATAGAAATGGCAGGCTGACCAGGGAAGAGATCATCAAGGTGGCTGAGGCCAGATATTCCTCGTCATGCCCTTGCCACATCATTGACACATGAGGGTATCGGTGACAATTTCTTCTTCACTTACCCTAACATCAGTGAGAGAAGTACGTTTATTAGTCTTGCCCCACCTTCAGGGGCTATTAAGAGCCCTTAATGCAAGTCAGACATCCCTGTTTTGGACTTAACCACCTGTTTGGGAGGATAGAGCAGGGGAGTCAACAGGAGCCTAAAAAGTATTAGTGGCCAACTTCTTTCTCTTTCTCTTCTTTACCAGCCTCTGTGCAGGTTCCCTGGGAAAGAGCAATTTCACCCAATAAAGTTCCCTACTACATCAAGTGAGTGACCATCTGAATTAGAAGTGGGTCATTCACCTGCCCACCCTCCTCCCTTGCCTATCCTTTTTTTCTCCCTGTCGCTGTTACTCCTTATCTGTTGGGATTCCTCCATCCAGTCCAGTTTTTCCTCCTACTCATCTCAAGAGCTCAAGATTCTGCCTGGGGAAGGGTGCTTTGGGATATTAATGGTCCACCCTCGGATCCTGAAGTTCCTTGCATCCAAACTATCACTGAGTGAAGCGCATATGTGTGTGGGGAGGGTGGGGGTGGTGTGGACCCCGGTATTATTGATGCTTTTGTTTGTAGCCACCAGGCTCAGACCACTTGCTGGGACCATCCCAAGATGACTGAGTTATACCAAACCCTGGGTAAGAATTCAGAGTTCCTGTATAGGGTGGAGATCTATATAGCTGCCTTTTTCCTGTAAGAACAGAAGGGAATTCCATTCAACAAACAGATGGGGGTAGAAGGGAGCACCTTGTCATTTACCCAGTGGCCTTTCTTCCTTTCCCCTCTGCACCTCCCTCAACTGGAGGCTCTACATTCCTCCTAGACCATTTTACCATCACATTAGGGAATTATTCTTACAGACCTTCTTTGAAAGACACTGTCCAGGCTATGATGAATATGACTTCCGTGTGCCTTAGTTTTGGCTACTAAGAGATTCACCATTAAGGTTGCAAATTTTATCCATGCTGATGCATGTGAATATAGCTCATTCACTTTCTTTGCTGTAGAGTGTTCCATTTTATATACAACAGCTTCTTCATCCAGTCTACAGTTGATGGACTTTTGGATTGTCTATAGTTTGGAACTAGTAAGGACAGTGCTGCTAGCCTCTTGTACATGTCTTCTGGTGCACATGTGCATGTTTTTCAGTCTAAAGGTCTAACATCATTTCAGTGTGTTGTGAACAGACTAGGAAATTTGAAAGTGCAACAGATCCTTTGCAAGAATCATATTCAATATTAATTTTGTTATGTTTTTACTTTATCAAAAATCTAGTAAGGTATTATCTCCTGAAATATTGTGATTCAGTTATTTATATATGCACACATAGGGTGCACATATTGGACGGTGATATCAAATGAATGTCTTACTGTGCATCTTGGTCAATAAATGCTTGAAATTCACTGCTCTAGGATATGTAGCCAGATGTGTTGTGGGATATGTGAATGTTCAATTTTACTAGGTACTGCCAAGTTGTTTTCTGAGGTGGTTGTATCAGTTTATACTTCCACCAGCAGGTCCTTATTTATCCACATCTTTTCTAACACTTTCTGTTTCTTTTTTTTTTTTTTTTTTGGCCAATCAAGTGGGTGTAATATGGTATCTTGTGGTTTTAATTTGCATTTCCCTGATCTGAGTGTGCCTCTTTCCATTCTTTGTAGCTGATCTGAACAACATTAAGTTCTCAGCTTACCGCACTGCCATGAAGCTACGCAGAGTCCAGAAGGCGCTGCGTTGTAAGTTTCCCATCTCACTTCCCCGCAGCCTTCACCCTACTCCCACTCTTCCTCATCTGCTAGCTGTTTTCCACTTTGATTCCACCTTGGTCAGGGTTGTTGATTGGCTTGTCTCCAAAAGCTGGAGTATGCTGGTTGTGGGCACCTGCTCTTTCCAGGGGCCTTCCATTGTTTCCAAGCCCCAGACTTGTTTCTAAATTAACCCATAACTATCCTCCTCCTTGTCCCTTCCCTGCCCAACATGGATAATCAAGCAACTGTTTTGTGGCAGGAAGTAGTCCAGCCCAAGGTTTGGAGCCATCAGGGGCTTGTGTTCTTTTGCCATCTTGGAGTTGGTTATTGAATGTAGCAGATCTATTGAAGCAAGTGCCAGTGGTTAGGGGACAATGTGGCTATAGATAAAATGTGCTTTCTGGCCTTTCTTAGGAAGACTATCCATTCAGTCTTCCTGGCCCAGGCATGTCTGACTAGGCTGGTTCCATCATTCCAGATAATAGAAAGTCCTCTTGAGGCATGTCACATTTACCCAGACATCCTGAGCCTTCATAACTGGTATCTAGGTTCTCAGAACAAGGTTCATGAACAAACCTGTTTGCTGTTGAAATGTGTGTAAAGACAGAGAAACATAAAATGAGATTTGACTCCTTGGGAGTTAATACAACAAAGGAGGTGAATTTATTCACATCCTACCATCTTCTTGAAACTGATGCCAAAGAACATATGGGTATATACATGTTTGGGGTTAATTTCCAGGGCCTTTCACTGCCATCCCCCTCTTCAGGATGAGGATCTTGGTGAAGGGCAATCTTGTATCATACTTATAAATGGATGGTCTGGAGATTCAGTCAAATTTGGTGATGCCAGTGGTGTTATCTTCTCATGTAGTCCTAGGAGTTCTACTTTTGGCTACTCTCCCTCTCTTTTCCTTCCCAGTGGACCTGGTAACTTTAACCACAGCCCTGGAGATCTTCAATGAGCATGATCTGCAGGCCAGTGAGCAAGTGATGGATGTGGTAGAGGTCATTCACTGCCTGACGGCCTTATATGAACGGCTGGAGGAGGAAAGAGGCATCCTGGTCAATGTGCCACTCTGTGTGGACATGAGCCTCAACTGGCTCCTCAATGTTTTTGATAGGTAAGGGCCTGTACCCCCCCCCCTCCAGAAGCCTCCAGGATGAAATCCAATGGGATATCTGAAGTGGGCATTGTGAGAAGGGGTCACTCCCACAGTGGACTTGGACTTAGCTCAACTTGGGGCATGGTTGGCACAGAGCCCTGCTGGGATAAAGTCTGTCAGAGAAATTAATGCCAAGATGTTAACCCTTTACATATATTCATGTTCTCAGTCTCTTCTCTTAAACCTAGTGGTCGCAGTGGAAAGATGCGAGTGTTGTCCTTTAAGACCGGCATTGCATGCCTGTGTGGCACTGAAGTAAAGGAAAAATTGCAATGTGAGTACAACTCCAAAGTCTGAAGTGGAGTTGGGTGGAGGGAGAGGCGTGATAGGAGGAGGAAGGGTGAAAATAAGCAGAAGGTAGGTCTTATGACTCAGCAGAGCACTACTCAGGCTACATTCTAACGGTGGTCCAGGCTAATGCAAAAACCCACAACAGTCAAAGGCTAAGATGGGTCTAAGACCTGTTATTATTTCCAGTGTTACTCCAAGGATTTTGACTTCTTCTGACATAATATAATTAGTTGACTAAGCTCTGAGTTGGCTTCCTGAGGTATCCAAGGGCCTGACTTCCTAGTGCTATTTTCCTGTGGCCTATCAGGCTCAGCCCTCCCCTAGTCTGAATCTCAAGCCATGTCACATTCTACTAGAGACGTCCCATGTGATTACATGGGCAGGGCACAAAAATCCCCAGTATCTGGTAGGTGAATAGTATGCATTTCTGTAGTTTTTAACCTCTCTGGTTTATACTACCTTTGCTTTCCCCTCCATCCTCCATCTTCTGTATGGCTTTTTGTACTTTTCTGCAGCAGCAGTGTTAGTTGTCAAGTGCTTAATGTGTGTTGACTGTTGTGCTAAATGTGGTGAGTACAAGGTCCAATCAGACATGGTCCCTGCCTTAGGTTGTTGACAGTCCAGAGGAGGAGATAGAAGTACACAGAAAGCATTTTTGAAAGTGTTAATTAGAATAATCTGAATGGCAAAGGATATGTGCTATATCAGATCACAGAAGATGGATGACAGTGGCCTGGGAAAACTTTAAATGGAAGGAGACATAGCAAAGCATGTTCATAGCAATGATATTATTTATTTCTCCCAATATTCCTTTGAGAAGGAATGGATACTAATTATTTCTTCTCAATTTTCAAGTGAGGAAACTGCAGCATAGAGAGGTTCATGACTTATCCAAGGTCTTACAAGCTAGCCAGTAATGGACCCAGAACTAAAATCCAGGCCATATGCCTTCCACTTCTGAGTATTTTCTAAGCCGTTGGTGATGTATGAGACAGACAAGAACCGCTGAAGGAGCTTTGCTAAGATTGCAGTAGCATGGGGGTAGTTCTCACAGGGCAGATATAGCCCATATTCGAATATAAGTACCATAGTCTATTGCACACATTAGACTATGTTCTATTAGACCATAGTCAATTAGGTGATCATCTCCTATTTGTGGATGATCCATGTCAGTGTTTGTTTCCATTTGTGTGGAGAGTTGAGAGTTTACTGTAGTGTCAGATGACATGAGCTATGTGAACAGGAGGGGACTCATGATCAGGCACACCTAAACTCCACACCCCTTCATCTTGCTTCTTGAGAATCTGTTTTCCCAGCAGTGCCATATCTGTCTGGCACTGGTCTGACATGCAGCCCGCTCTCTGTCTTCATCTCTCCCTCTCTCTCTCTCTCTGATGCTCTCTCTCTCTTTGTGTCTGTCTTGCTTTTTCTCTCTGAACACAGAGATTGCTCTTTTTATAAATCATGGGCTTCTAGAAGATCAGGGATAGATCTTTAGGTATTCCAGTTTCAAAAGTCATTAGCTAAGTCTATGTACTCTTTCCTTATCTTCCTTTTCTTCTCCTTTTCCTCACACCATTCTCTGGCATTCCTGCATCGGGGTTGGCCATGACTTATGGTGGGGCCAGCAGACCTCTTCAGCCAAGTAGCCAATTCAGGCAGCCAGTGTGACCAGCGCCACCTCGGTGTCCTGCTTCATGAGGCTATTCAGGTGCCCCGTCAGCTGGGGGAAGTGGCAGCCTTTGGGGGCAGCAACGTGGAGCCCAGTGTCCGTAGTTGCTTCCGTTTTGTGAGTATGGGACTGGGTAGGGATGATGAAAGGGAAGGTGGGAGGAAGGGAGGGAGAGCTACGAGTGAGGCTTTCAATCTGAACTACTCAGATGTAAAGGAGTTTCTTCAGAACAACAAAATAGAGGGTTCTCTGGGCTTTTAAGTCCAGAGTCCTACTGGGGAGAGTGCCAGCTCAACTAGGACAGGGCAGTAGGTGGACACCTCTGTAGAATAGGCCATAGGCCAACCCAGGCCTTGCTGGTTCTCCTGTCCCTGTGAGGGGTACCATTCTAGGAACACTTTGGGCCCCACTCATTTCCATTGGGCTTCTTGTTTCTCTAGAGCACTGGGAAGCCAGTCATTGAAGCTTCACAGTTCCTTGAGTGGGTCAACTTGGAGCCCCAATCCATGGTATGGTTGGCTGTCCTGCATCGGGTCACCATTGCTGAGCAAGTGAAGCATCAGACCAAGTGCTCTATCTGTAGGCAGTGCCCCATCAAGGGCTTCAGGTAAGGAAAGCAATACCTGCTAGAATGATAATGTTAAATAGGCCATGTTACATATAAAATCATATATTATGAAACAATGTACATATTCCATAATTATATAATTACAGCTAATCTATGGTACGCTGTTATATGTTGTTGCAATCCTTTCTACTACTGAATGTTTAACTTTTTAGAAAATCAGAAATGATGAAATATTTTCTTTTCTTTTAGTTTATATTATGAAGTATTCCAGATTGACAAAAAAATGTATAGAAAAGTAGGGGGTGGGATGGCGAAACAGCACAGAAAGGGAAGTAGTTTGTTCATTGTCTCCCAGGGAATATTAAGTAGACATATAAGATCACCTGTGTACCAAATGATATGCTGGCAAATGGTTCACAACTGACTCCCCAGAAAGCAAAGCAAACAAACAAAAAACAAAACCTAATGTGTAGTATTTGCTAATTTCCATGATGTAAATACTCCCACTGTGGCTGATGTCCAGGTACCCACAAGAGGTTGAGAAGAGATGCATGGTTGTACACTATTTATAGCAGAGATGATAGATTTAAACAACCTCAAGTGCATAGATAATAGGAAAATAATTAGGAGGTGATGGGTTCTGGGTATGTGTTACCTTTGTTTTTAATATCATTTACTTAATTGTGAGTTTAGTAATTTTTTATAATGGTTGTATTTAACAACTGGCTTGGAAAATCCCTGAAATTTTTAACATACACCACCAAGCTTAAGAAAGAAGGCCTTATTGCAATACATTTGAAGTTTCCCTGGTTACATTCTCCAGGCTTTCATCATAAAATGCTCAATTTTAAAACTTTTTAAAGCCTTAAGGCACTCTCTTTACAACTGCCCTGCTTTCTATAAGCAAATGAGGCACAGACGTGGAATGTGACTTGCCCAGTTTCACCGTTGGTTAGTATAGATCCAGGAATAGATGTTGGATCCTCTTGACTTCTCTAAGTCCAAGTATTTCACCATTGTGCACTACTAGGTCTGGTCTGGGGAGTTCAGCCAGGTTTTGGACCTGGATCTTATGGGCTAGTCAATATTTAGTAATAATAGAGTTATTTTTATAATCAAGTTTTGGAAATAACTTAGCCGACTTGCCCAAGGCTGGTAGAATAAATGGCCTTTGTATTGGAAGTGTAAGTTCTCCAATGTAGGCAGTGGTACCTGTTAGACTGAACCCTTTGGGGCTATTTTTGTTTAGAAAGCTGTTTGAGGGTTGATAGGGGGTGGAGGAGAGGGGAAATGGGCATAGAGGAGGGCACTTGTTGGGATGAGCACTGAGTGTTGTATGGAAACCAATTTGACAATAAATTATATTAAAAAAAAAAAAAAGAAAGCTATTTGACATCATGAGCTCTTTACCCCTTCCCACTTGAACCCTTTTAAAAAAGATGGTGAGGCAATGCTATTCCCCACACTTCCTAGGAGTCTGAGCATGTAATTTCATGGAGGTTTGTGGTCTTTAGACTAAGGCTAGTTATCTAGTGAGGATGAAGCCACTGTTATGTATAGGAGGTTGAGTGCATTATGACTCCATGTCCCGCCCCCTTCTAATGTGTGTGTATATATTTGGATGTTAGGGAAATGGGGAGGTCACTATGGTACATTGGATCCTCTGTCCTATCACCTCTCATCTCCCCAAGGTACCGGAGTCTGAAAGAATTTAACGTGGACATCTGCCAGACCTGCTTCTTGACAGGCAGGGCCAGCAAAGGCAACAAGCTGCACTACCCCATCATGGAGTATTACACCCCGGTATGGAGCCTCCGGGCCGGGCAGGAGGGGGAAGCAGTTCTCAGGTTCTAGGCCCTTGATCCACTTTGCCAAGCATGGACTAACTATATTCTGCCCCTCACCCAGTTGCCCTCTCTCTGTTTCTCTGTCTCTCTCTTTCTCAAAAAAAAAAAAAAAAAAAAAAAAA